TGATTACAATCAAATATAGAATTTAAGCTAACAAAAACAACACATCCAAAACAAGTCTGTTATATTAGGCCTGTATTGAAAAAAAAAATGTAAATTAAAAAATTCGGCCAAATTCGGCCAAATTTAGTTTGGCCGTGACTTTTCAAACATTACGGCCAGGCAAATTTTTATACGGCCAGATTTGAGGAATCTGGCCGTCAAAAGGGCCAAATGGCAACCCTGATTAGTAGTGGGCGAACTTCAACCCTTTAGGCAAATTCGATTTTACTAAGTAGGTGAAACTTTTTTATTCCTTGTTTCGCGTACTTATTTTTTTTAAAGATTATCGGAGGTGGGTGGAATATAAATGAAACTTTGTTTTCTTATTTAGCAAATAGTTTTGCCAAAATAATCCAGACGGCAGAGAAAATAAAAATAGAATTTTCTTGGTGAATATAAAATAGGATGTTTAAATGCTTCAAATTAATATAATTATGAATAAATATACATCTTATCTTTGGAGATTTCAAGGCAGTGGAGGGCGTAATGAAAAGAAAAAAAAACTTTTATTTTTTTCTGAAATTTCCATTTTTTCCTGGCGGTGGGTTCGCTAGTTGGCCAAAAATTAAATTTTATTTTTATTCAAAATCATCAATATTTGCAGTCGACGAGTTCGCTAAACAAGGTATAAAAAAAGTCTTGCCTTGGGTAAAATATATTTTTTACGTGATTGTGACATACTGTGTTTGATTTGAACTCTTCGCTGCCTATTACTAATAAAATCAACATGGAAGAAAGAATAATGAGCAGCAACATTTTGTATAATCCAAAACTAGGGTGTTTGAAGGTGCATAGGGGCATTGAGTACTCTCATTTTTGTTTCAGCTGAGCTACCTTAGAGACTCACCCAGCATTCAAGTAATTTTTAAATGCAAATATTAAATATTATAATACTTTCCCATCATTTTTATGTAACATACATGTTTGGTGACCCTACAAAATATATTGTGTGACCCTTAACAAAAGTTTCAACCCTTACTTGGAATTCCAGGGCACATGAGACAGACCTTATTATTCATAAAATTTGTGTATTCTATGTGGCTTCGTAATAGAATTTAGTTTAGTTGAGAAATTTAAGCACACATTATATTTTCTTGTAATTTATCTTTCCTCCAGGCTGATCAGAGGTTTGTTTGGAATTGTCATTTGCTCCGGGAATTAAGTGCTCAGCCTGAGGTAAGAATAAAGTTGCCATTCTTTGCCACACAGGTATTATATGCATGAACCATACATCTTTTATAAGTAAAGATTATAATTCAATTCAGCTACATTTAAACGAATAGATATCTTCTCAAATTTCCTTAATGAAAAAACAGGTAAACTTCTTGAACTGAAATCCTTGAACTAACTGGAAGTAAGTTGATAAAAACTCAAATAGAAGTAACACAAAAGATTTAATAAACGACATAATCATTTCGGGTGACCACCAACCCATCATCTGTAATTAAGATTAATTATCTATTTAGAAGAAAAAGATTTGATTTTATGTTTTTTTTCTGTTCATTACTGATGATCTGGGATTTTCGATTGTACCTCAAAGGATCAATAAAGCTGATGTCTATGCCTGTTTTGAATCCTTAAATTATAACATCAACACACACCTTTTGGATCAAGAAAAAGTCCCAGAAATCAGAACACACATATCAGCAATGGCGCAGTCTTTTATTATTATTATTATTATTATTATTATTATTATTATTATTATTATTATTATTATTATTATTATTATTTTATCATTATTATTATTATTTTATCATTATTATTATTTTATTATTATTATTATTATTATTTTATTTTATTATTATTATTTTATTATTATTTTATTTTATTATTATTTCATTAATATTTTATTATTATTATTATTATTAATAATAATAATAATAATAATAATAACAATAATAATAATAATAATAAATTTTGTAGTCTCAGCAATGATCCCACAATTAAAAAGGAAGAAAGCTTATAGAGGTTATTACGAAAATTAAAGAAAAAACAATTCACAGTGTATAATAATATGTACCCCAAAAGTTCCTAAATTTAGATGGATCACCCCCTTTAAGGCCCATAGTTTACTAAATAGGCTGCTAATCTATATTTGGCAAATCCTTTGAAATCTCATGAATATTCATATCCAAGCACACATATAATTACACTCTGGCAAAAGATTTAAGTGAACTCACTAGACCTTGTGTCTCACTTGAGTTGTAAAGATTCCTTCAGTTTTGCTAACGAGATTCACAACCTTAACTTAAAAGATAAAATTATGGTCTCATTTGACGTTGAGAATTTACTAATATTTCTCTCAAAGAAACGATTGAACTTGCTGCTAATTCCATTTATAGTCATAACGATGAATTAAAAATTACTCCAATGAACCTATGTAGTACCGTAAAACCTCGAATTGAAGCCCTGGGCCTCTTCTTTGTTTTGCGAACTTTTGATGAGCTTCTTTTCAAGATTGACTTCTTTCGAGGCTACTTTTGCAAAGGAAAAAGGGGGCGAAAGAGGGGGCTTCTTTTAAAATGAATGCTGTAAATTTTGTGAATTTGTACTATAAAACAATAAATAAGGCCACTGTAACATCAATTTATATCATGAAGTGTATTTTGAAGTGTATTTAAATGGCATTAAATCACCTAAACTGCTGTAAAAGCCAAGCTTGTTTTTAATATATTTTGTTTTCTGAAATTCATGTATTATGTTTGTACTGTACTATCTCAAAAAGAAGCATACGCTATCTTGAAAAGAAGCCCATGGGCTTCTTTCCGAGATGGGCTTCTTCTCGAGGCTACTTGTGCAAACTAAAAAAAAAAAAGGGGGGGGGGGCGAGATGGGCTTCATCTCGAGATAAGCCCACTGAATTTGAGGTTTTATGGTATATAAATTTAAATGTACTGGATGCCTTTCCAGCTATATAGGCTATACATGCCGACGATTAAGTACCAGCATCAACGAACACTTAGGAAATGATAGTTTTATCATGGATAGTGTTAACAATGAAATCAAATTGAAAATCAAAGAATCTTTCCGAGATGGGCTTCTTCTCGAGGCTACTTGTGCAAACTAAAAAAAAAAAAAAAGGGGGGGGGGGCGAGATGGGCTTCATCTCGAGATAAGCCCATTGGGCTTGAATTTGAGGTTTTATGGTATATAAATTTAAATGTACTGGATGTCTTTCCAGCTATATAGGCTATACATGCCGACGATTAAGTACCAGCATCAACGAACCCTTAGGAAATGATAGTTTTATCATGGATAGTGTTAACAATGAAATCAAATTGAAAATCAAAGAATCCCTCTACATACAATGGAATAATCCTAATCTCAATATGCAAATTAAACATGTTAACTTAAAACTTGTTTATGCTGATAACAAACTTTGAGATATATAAAACAGCACCAAAATGTTCGTTTAACACCCCTTAATTGCGTTTCTTCTTTTTATATACATTATCGTCAAAGCAGACAAAAGTAATACGGTGTTTAAGCCTTAACTGTTTACATTTTTCTCTGCCTGAGACAAGACAATTGATAACAATAAAAAGAACGACAGTATCGTAATCAATATTCATTGTTTGTCTGTTTTACGGTATGATATCCATTAAGTATAGTTTGCTCAAATGTCGTAACTGTATCATCGGTGTCGTTATGGAGTAAAACTGGCGCCTTCATTACAGTTTTTGCTGACACATTAATTGAGAATAAATACAGGTAATAAATTCGGCATACGTATCTCTATCATCCAGCAAACGTGTCCCCATCATTCTACATACGTGTCTCTATTATTTGGTATATGCCTCTATCAAGTGGCATCACGTGTCTCTAGTATTCGGTATACGTGTTTCTATCATTGACATACGAGTCTTCATCATGGGTGTACGTGTTACTGTCATTTGACATACGAGTTTTTATCTTGCGGCTTACGTGTTTGCGTCAGGAGATGCACTAGGCCCTACCTTTCTATACTACCTTCTGATAGGATCCAATACTAGCCATAGAAGCGTACTGTGGTCTAGTGGTTAAAACACTAGGCTAGTTATGGACTTGTTTCTGTTATTGACGTACGAGTTTGTATCATGCAGCATATTACGTGTTTCTATCATTCGGCAAACGAGTCTTTATCATACGGATTACGTATCTTTATCACTCGGTATATACGAGTTTCTATCATTTGGTATACGAGCCCCTATCACACACGGGGGGTCTTTGGAAGTGTACTTTTTGGAGGGGCGTGAGCCCCCCCCCCCGCGCATCCCCTAGATACGCCACTGCTTGTGTATAACATTTGGTAGGACGCCTGTCTTTATGGTTTACAACAATAACTTTTTTATGTTAAACTTCA